GCGGGGAAGGAAGTTAATCAGGAGTGTTGCAGTAACTGGTGCAGTTGCTAAGGGAATTTTTCAAGAGGGTAGTGATGTATGAACTTCCAAACATTGATTGTTAAATGGCGTTTGAAAGTCCCTTGGCGGCGGGCAAGTTGTTACGTACGAAATTTAGAATTAGGTTAAAAGCCCAAGGTAAAAAGAAGAATGGGCCTGGCAATAGAGTTGGTTGAACTGGCTGAAGGACACCGTGTGGAAATCAAGGAAAATTCAGGACGGAAAGACTTCAGGTCGGAAGGTCCTCAGGACGGAAAGACTTTAGGTCGGAAGGTCTTCAGGTCGGTAGGTCCTCAAGACGGAAGGTCCTCAGGACGGAAAGACTTTAGGTCGAAAGGTCTTCAGGTCGGTAGGTCCTCAAGACGGAAAGTCCTCAGGACGGAAAGACCTCAGGTCGGGAGGTCCTCAAGACGGAAAGTCCTCAGGACGGAAAGACCTCAGGTCGGAAGGTCTTCAAGTCGGGAGGTCCTCAAGACGGAAAGTCCTCAGGACGGAAAGACCTCAGGTCGGAAGGTTTTCAGGTCGGGAGGTCCTCAAGACGGAAAGTCATCAGGATGGGAAGTCCGCAGGTCGGGTAAACCGTAGATCGGATAGAAGGCGAAGTCGGGCAGACGCGGAGGTCTGTCAAGAGGAAGGTCGGGCAAGGAAGAGGTTCGGACAGACGCGGAGGTCTTCGGTCAAAGACGGAGGGCAGTTGATGCGGAGGTCGGCCCAAGTGAGGTCGGGCGAAGAAGCAGGTCGGGCGAAGGACGAAGTCGGGCCAAAAGGGCGGAAGGTCTGTGGTCGGCTCAAAGAGTGAAATATAGGGATAATTTTGGTCTGCTGAGGACACGTGTCAGCAGGAGAAGGGTTGGAAAACGGTTGGGAAGGAGACGTTGTAACCGTTCGGGCGACGGTTTTCAGTACAGTTTCTTCAAAGAATATTTAAGGATTTGGATCATCATTTGGAAAGGCATCTTCAATCAACTTCAACAAAGCAAAGTCAGATTTGGGGATCACCACTTTAAATTTCAGTATTTTATTTTCCAGTTTATTTTCTGTACCATACAGTGTTTAGAGATTCCTAATCTCAGGCACTAATTAATCAAGTTTAAGGATATTTTCTATATCTTTGAATTTTACTTTATTTTTGTTGAAAAAATACATCAACAAAAATAATAGAAAAAATTAAATATTTGAATAATAATAGTGAAAAATAAAGTTATGGTTAAAATAAAATTACTGTAACAAATGTATATTTTGAGTTAAAATTAAATAAATGAAGTTGATAGATTAAAAATGTCATTAAAGATTAGATTATGAATCTATATTATACAAAATATTTATATTTAAATTTAAATTTTATTTATTTTATAAAAAATTTTAGTCTCTATAAAATAACATATATATTATATATATATTTTTTTAGCTATAATTATAATAAATATTAAATTATATTTTACTTTAAAAAAATAAAAAAAAATAAAAGCTGCGGGTCAAACATGCTGGCCGGACAGTAAACAACCCCAATTTTGGGTGAAGAAACACACCCCTAAATTTCATTACAGCCTTGTTTTAGACCCTGCTTATTCTTCTCAAACCCACTTTTTCTTTCTGAATAACAACAATTTTCAAACCCTGATGTTGTATGGAGTGTTCGAATTGAAGCCCTAGCTTGAGACCCGAAGATGTTTGATCCCCAATTTATCAAAGCAACTGTGTCCAAGATTCAATCAAAGCCAAACTTCAAATAAAATATGCTTAACTACTAAAAAAGACGATCTTCATCCTCCGCCAGAAAAAAAAAATCGACTCCGAAAGAAGCTGAGTTGACAAAGAATAGAAAGAAAGAACAAAGAGGGGAGAAAGAATGAAATTTGACCTCACCTTGGCCTTGCCTGCACAGCCACACCGATGGGACGAAATTTTGGCCGCCATCGCTGCTTCCAGAACAAAGAGAAGGGCATCGTCAAAGCAATAGCAATGGCCTGTCTATAGATGAACTTTTTTTTTTTTTTTTTTAATTTTAATGGAGGTATTTTTTCAATCAAGTAATAAATGTGTTTACTCATGAGTTTTTTGTTTTGAATTTTGGATTTGAACACTAAAATTTTGGATTAAAATAATTATTTGATGTAATATTAATATGTATTCACGTGATGTTTTTAATATAAAATTTAATTTTAATATAATATAATAAATAAAAAATATATATTTGATTTGATATAAAAAAAAAATAATAATAATAATAGAAGTAAACCAAATCCCATATTGTTGGTGAAAAATAGGACTTGACAACTGTTTGGTGCAGGGTAGACCATGTTGATGCTGTCTCACACCAATAACTTTTATTTTAAGCCGTTGTATATTTATTTGTTCTTCCCTCTGTCACATATAATTTGTCCCTATTTTTTTTTTTCGTCCGTTCCACCTAATTTTTCTTTTTTTTTTTAGAAAATTAATTATACACTTTAATTATATTTTAAAATTTAATTTTTTTTAATCTTAATTAAACTATTTAGTTATTTTAATCTTAATCTATAATTATTTTTACTAAATAATAATTATTTTTACTAATATATTTCTTAATTACTTACTAATTATACTTTACTTAAATTCCCGTGTCCACAGTAATACACCTATATTACTTAGGACGGAAGGAGTATAATTTGTTGCGTCAGAAGATGAAAATTGACAAATAAGCATCACATCAGACATTTTTTTCACATTTGCCGTTGTCATTGCTCTTAGTGAAGCCGTTGCAATTGCTCTTATACATGATCTTGTTTTTGTTTTCATAGTTATCAGAAACGATGGCGTTGCCTTTTATGGTAGATTTTTTACTGTTTAAAAATTATTATTAAAAATTAAATTAGAAATTTATTTTTTTTATATTATATTTAAAGTATTATATTAATATATTTATATTATATCAAATAATTATTAATATTAAAAATTTTACAACTTAAAAACACACCTACAAATAAAATAAAGGATAAATTACACAATATTTTCTTATATTTTAATAAATATGCACAAAATACGTGGTGTTTTATTTATTTTGTGAAACCTTGTGTTGTATTAAACTTTCCATAAAACACAATTTCTGTCCAAAATTGATATTTAATTGATTGTAATTATGGACCTAAATTATACAAAACTTTATACAAATAAAAGAAGTAAAATATCTCCAATAAAAAGAAAAAAATAGAAGTAAAAGATCTTAAATAATATTTTTTGAATAAAATAAATAAATAAATAAATAATTTATCAATCTTTTATTTTTATAATTTTTTAAAAATTCAGATAACATTTTGTCTCTAAAAAAAATTATTTATTTATTTATTTTATTCAAAAAAGACTATTTAATATATTACCTATTTTATTTGTATAAAATTTAAATAATTATATTAGTTTTTATACAAAATTATCAGTTTGGGACGAATATAATATTTTGTGCAAATTTTAATATAACATATGAGAGTTTTACGCAATAAATAAAATACGAAATATTTTGTGTATTTTTATCAAAAATACAATCAAATGTTATATAATTTACCCTAAAAATAAATACAAGATTGTTACTACCCAACACATGTGATCTAACCTGGACTTATGGTCCGATTTCGTTTAGGCGTGTGTGTGTTAAAAAACAAAAAATCAGGACCTTTTATACACATACTTATTGCGTGTACCATATGTAGATGATTTTACACAACAACATAGCATATATGTGTTGAAATAGTGTCATGATTACGACATAGCATATATGTGTTGAAATAGTGTCATGATTACAATCGCGACCTACCTATATGTATGAACGAATGAAGTGAAATGCAATTACATCACATTTTTACTTTCTCTCTCGTGTCCTGCTCCACTCATCTCTCCCCCCGTTTATTACTGACATATCTAATCTCTATTAACATACATAAATATATGGGTTCGGATCTCCTGTCCGACATATCTCTCTGTCGCCTCTGTCCATCCAATTGAAGAGCGCCAAGTGCCTCCTTATCCCTTTTTTTTTTTAAATAAAAATTAAACTTTTATTATAATTTACAATTCCATCCCTAAATTTTAATAGCGATTTTATTTCTCTTTCAATCCCCAAATTCCAGTAAGTTTTTTCGATCCAACGATTAAGTAGCCCTTTAGATTCGCTTGGTGCCGGTACGTTACCGCGGCTTGCCGACCAGCCCGTCGCCGTCGCTCTCTTCTTTCGGTCATTGTCGGAAAATTTCTCAAGACACTATTACTACCGTCACGCACTCTGGTCTTCCATCGTAGTGACAGTTTCTTTCCCACCCTCTAATTAAAAAAAAAAAAAGGTACATTATTATTATTATTATTATTATGCTAAACTATTTTTTGAAAATCATTCATTGCAGTATAAATTTAGAGTTTCTGCCATTTATTTTACTCATTTGAAAATTCGATTTGAAATATAGTTGTTTTGGGTTTATATATGTAGTTGTTGTGTGTGCTTTTGTTTGTAAATCCATTGAAATTTGGTATTTTTTTTATTTCATTTTGATTTACTTTACAGGTATGGAATTTGATAATTTAGGCTCGCCATCTCAAACAGAGACCAAAACAATTCAAATTGGAATGTTGTTTGATTCAGAGGCAGCAATATATCAATATTATCTAAGTTATGCTAAAAATATAGGTTTTGGCATCAAAGGACACAAGATGCATAAAGATAAAAAAAAAAAAAAGGTAAGATTATATCCAGAATTTTAGCTTGTAGTGCTGAAGGAAAACGGGAAGAGGATAGGAGAAGTATTAATGTGAAAGCGCCACGGCCAATAACAAGATTTGATTGCAAGGCTAGAATAAAGATTTGTTTGAAAGAGAATGAAAAATATCAGGTTGTTGAGTTTATTTCTCAACATACGCATTATCTTACTGGCCCCCAAGAAACAGATTTGTTAAGGTCACATAGGAGGATAAATGATGCGCATGCTAAGTAGATTGAGATGGCAGAATGTGTGGGACTTACTCTAAAACTCTCCCATAATCTTATGGTTAAAGAAGCCGGTGGCCGAGACAGCTTAGGATTTATTGAGCAAGACCATAAGAATTATTTACGCTCAAAGAGAACAAAAAATATGAAAATTGGAGATACCGGTAGAGTGTTTGAGTATTTGCAGGAGATGCAAAAGAAAGATCCGAATGCTTTGTATTCAATTTAAGTTGATGAAGATGATATGATAACTAATATCTTTTTGGCAGATGGCAGAATGAAAGCAGATTACTCTGATTTCGGAGATGTTGTGAGTTTCGACACCACGTATAGAAAGAACAGAGAAAGCCGCCCTTTTGCATTATTTGTCGGTGTCAATCATCATCGACAAACAATAATATTTGGTGCCTCACTTTTATACGATGAGACAATCCCTTCATTTGAATGGTTGTTTGATACATTCGCAGACACCATGGGTGGAAAAAAGCCTATCACTATTCTGACATATCAGGATCATGCTATGGTGAATGTATTAGGTATAAGATGGCCTGAAACTTGCCACATGTTATGTATTTGGTATATCTATCAAAATGCTGCAATACATTTAAGTGGATTTTTTGAAAAATATAAAGATTTTGCACATCATTTTGGAAGGTGTATTTATGATTGTGAAGAAGGGGATAAATCTATGCATGAATGGGATGAAATGTTGGAGAAGTATGATATAATGGAGAACGAATGGTTGAAGAGGTTGTGTAGAGTTAAAGAAAAATGGGCATTGGTATATGGGCGCCAATTCTTTTGTGCTGATATTACTACAACACAGCGTAGTGGAAACATGAATAGTGTTATCAAAAGGTACGTGAGTTCCAAGAACCCTTTGCAAGTATTTTTTGAACGATTCGAAAATTTAATTGAATCTCGCCGATATGAGGAGTTGATTGCTGATTTTAAAGCACGTACGAGTGCTCCGGTCCTTCATTTACCTGTTCAACTTTTGAAACATGCTGCAAGTGTGTATACACCTGAAGTTTTTAAGGATTTTCAAAAGGAACTAGGGAAAGCTTATGATTGTGCAGTGGTTCTTAATGACATGGATGAAACAATAGCAATTTATCATATCAGTTACTTGGGAAGGTCAAGGTATCATGTTGTGAACTTTAACTCTTTAGATGATACCGTTTCTTGTAGTTGCAAGAAATTTGAATTTGGCGGCTTGTTATGCGCTCATGCGTTGAAAGTCCTGACAAATAATAATGTTTTTAAGATCCTAAAGCAATATGTGATGAAAATATGGACAAAATCTGCTAAGAGTGGAGTGGTGTTTTCCTTGGAAAATGACGTGGATGATCCTAAGAAAATGACGGGCATTAGTTATAGGGATTTGAATTTGTTTTTCAACAAATTGGTGATAAGGGTTTCAGAATCTAAAGAAACATATGAATTGGCGAAAGAATCATTTCTGAAGACCACTGAGAAGGTGAATGAATATTTGGGTGAGCGATCTTCTGTGAGCGATACTCAAGCAGCTTTAAGGATGGGAGCAGCTCCGGAGAAAGAAGGCAACGTACACGTGAAGAGGATAAAGACAAAAGCAAGAATACGTTCCGGTAAAAGACCAAAAAGTGGGTTGGAAAAGAATTCCAAGAAAAAAAAACAACCGGAGGTACAAAGAAATCCATTTTAAATTGAAAAAAAAATGCATTAATTTTAGTATTTGTCTTACATTATTTCACTTGATATTAATATAATTATATTATTTCTTAAATAGCCATCTATAAATGAGACACGTGTTGAAGGACATGACATTCTATTGAGGCAAGATCAAATAGCCCCACAACAGGTTTACTTTTTTGTACTTTATTTTGAATTTTTATTTTATTTTTTAACGTTGTGCTTTTTTTTTTTTTTTCTAATTTATATTTTTAATTATAGATCGAAACACTAAATTCAATATCAAACTTGCATTCCCAATGCCCCGGTGATTCGACATATACTCTAAGTTTCACTCAATTACTTGAGGTAAATTTTTTTATAATTCATGTCGTGATTTTATGATTTAAATTATTGTATAAGCCTTTAGTCCCTACACAAAGTTAAAGTTCAAATATAAACAAATTTGGACAACATGCAAATATAAGCTTGCACACCTAATTGATGGCAAGTACAAAATATAAATAATCTCATTCGATTTCAATTATCAAAAGACATACAAAATAAAACATAACTATCATGCAATTGCAATAATATTCTGAACTTCATAGGAACCAAGACTAAAAATAATATATTGAATGAACTTTTTTTAAGTGATGGAGTACTTATATAGACAGCTCCTAAAGAACAAAATCTAACCATGTATGAAGCGTAGCCTTTGAACATCAAGAAAAAGACCACCAACTTGAGTTGTGGAAACAAATGCATGTCCTTTAGTAGGTCTCATCGGTGAATCTCTTGAATCAATTTTAAATGTATACTTTAACGCTGACAGAAACTATGCCCAAGCTGCCTTCTCACAGCATGGGAAGACATTTGAGACGGATCTGTCAAAGTACACAAAGAGAGATTGTAAGATAAATCATGTTTTCCAGTCGATAGCAACCCTAAAGAGAGGCCAAGTGCACACTCTTTATAGGATGAAAATTTCAACCAATCTTGTGAAATAAGAGATAGTCTGGCAAACAAAGGAGTCGACATTCCTTTAAATCGAGGTAAAGAGAGTCCCGTGCTAACTTCCAATACCTGACTCCATCCACACGCAACCGAACCATCCCAAATATCTCCATATCCGAGAAAATTCTTCAGTTTCAGTGCCCCTTCCAGAGACCAAGATCTAGCCTATGAGATCAGTTTAGAATTTCAATACTAATAATACCGTCAATTCACATGTAAACTAAGGCATCCATTTTTCATTCGGAAATACAAAGAATAATACGATCAAATCAGCATTCACAATCCTTCATTTTCTAATTCTAATCATCAGAATGATATCAGCCATAACCAACATTTTCCTTGAGGTTCTGGATTGATTATGTTTGGCTAGAACAAATATTGTTTCCATAGTTGCAAAAATGAAACCTAACATAACAATTTAGCTCAATTCAGAAATTGACATTCCAAACACAATGTTTATGTAATTTTCTATAGCAAACCCTCAACACCTTATAGGCATTTTCAAATTACCAGCAGCAAAGAACTCAAATAATCAATCATGGATATTATCAGTTGGTAAACATCATAGTACATAATTACCCAGAACAAGGAATACTTCAAAAACAAAAATGGTACCTTAGGCTTGGAGTAAACCCTTATAGATCCAGTGAGAGGGTTTTTGCCCTCAACAACCTCAATGACGATGTTCGCAGTTCTAGGACGATTAGAAGATAGCCGGAGGATTTCTGATGGTGGGCGGTTTGGGAAAGGGGATAGAGCAGCAACGAACGGGACAATGACGACGGCGAGAGGCTAGGTGGTGTGCGAAGGCGACGGCCTAGTCGGCGACTGGAGGCAACAGACTGGGCGGCGAGCGAGGCGATGGAATTGTTGCTTCGTTCAAACAAAATAAAAATGGAATTTGGGGGTTGAAAGAGAAATAAAATCGCCATTAAAATTTAGGGGTGAAATTGTAAATTGTAATAAAAATTTAATTTTTATTTTTTAAAAAAAAGGTAAAGAGGCATCTGTCGCTCTCCAATTGGATGGACAAGGGCGACAGAGAGATGTGTCAGACAGAAGATCCGAACCCTACATATATATATATAGTAACATCACATTCGTACATTTATATTATACATACATATATTTATACATTATATTATTTACACACAGTATATATATACACAGTCATATATATGTAATATAATATTACATAATATAAAATAGCGATTAACGGTGGAAATTAATATTTCTATTGGGCTAAATTGCACAAAATTTATCTGTGATTTTACGAAATTGCGTAAAATTCCTCATACTTCTAAAACTGCGTCAAACTTCCTCATGGTTTCATAAACTCTGCATCTAACCCCTTCGGCGGTCCTTATTTAACGGTGTTTGGTCTAAATGCGCCTAAACTGCGAATAAATTTTAAAATCTCATTTAAGTTTGGGCCCATTTAAGTTAAATACTATTAAATAAGGACCGCCGAAGGAGTTAGACGCAGAGTTTATTCACGAGGGAGTTTGACGCAATTTTAGAAGTATAGGAGATTTGGAGCAATTTTATAAAACCATATGTAGGTTTTGTGCAATTTAGTCTTTCTATTGGCTAATCCTATAATAATATCACAACACGTTATCAACATGATTGTGTATTTTAATTTCCGCAAGGTAATATTTTATATTTTATATGTTTATTATGTCTAACCTTGCTAAACATGAATTTTTCTCTCTCCTTGTTTTTGGCCAAAATTATATGACTTGGGCTCGCGATGTGAAAATGCATCTGACATCAATGGGCTTGAAAAATACTATTGTCCAGAATGAAAATTCCGCAAACCAAGATCATACAAAGGCAATGATCCGTTTTTGCCATCACATCGATGAGGCACTGAAAATGCAAAATGTGACGTTGGAATCACCACTTGAATTGTAGGAGAGATTGAAAGAAAGATACTATCACTTGAGGCTGACTTTGTTGCCAAGGGCACGAAGCGAATGGAAAAGCCTACGGCTTCAGGACTTTAAAACAATCTAAGAATATAATTATGACATGTTTAAAATAACATCACTGTGGTGAAAATACATCTGAATATGATATGATGGAGAAAACTTCTTTCACTTTTCATGTCTTTAATATGGTTTTGCAGCATCGGTATCGTAAAAGAGGCTTCCAAAAATATTTTGAGCTGATCACCTCTCTTTTGCTGGCCGAACAAAATAATGAATTGTTGTTGAAAATCACGAACCTCGGCCGATATGTGCAAATCCATTTTTCAGAGGCAAATGCAATACAACTGGCAAATCCAGTGCGTGGTCATGGGCAGGTCAGAAATCAGCGAATTGATCGCGATCGAAATCAGAATCGTGGACGAGGCCACACAAACGCATACGATTACAATAATTATCAAAATAGGCTCTAATATGTGTCAAATAGGCGATATAATGACAGAAGGCCGTATAGACCTCAACAAGATTCAACACCTAGAGAAATAAAAATACTGACGAGAAATGCACCCGGTGTAGAATCAAAGACCATTGGGCTCATGTTTGTCGCACAGTTGGTCACTTGGCTGAACTGTATTGGGCCTCAAAAGAAAAGTAGGGAAGAATTGCCCCTGAAACAAATTATGTTATCCATGATAACACATTTGATGATGTGCTGAATGAAAATATCACACACCTGAATGCCGATGATCTGCTTAATATAGTTAATGAAGTTAAATGATGAAATGTTGTTGTATCTCTTTTGTTATTTTGATGTTTTCTACCCCATTTTGTATTACCCAACATAATATAAGTCTATTTTGATTATGTTACTAATACATGTATTTTATTATTTCTACATTCTTACAAATATATGGATGTCAAATATACCATTGATAATATCTGCCTTATCGACAGTGCTACGACTCATAACATTTTGAAAAGCAAAAGTTATTTATCCCATATGAATATGAGAAAGACCACTATAGTTACTATCAGTGGTGCATCGAAAATGATTAAAGGTTTAGGAAAAGCCACTGTATTTCTCCCTAAAGAGACAAAAATGACAATTGAAAATGCCCTGTTCTTGAGCAAAACTTGAAGGAATTTACAGAGCTTTAATGATATTCGGAAAAATAGGTATCACATTGAAACATCGAATGAGACAGAAAATGAGTATCTTTTAATAACTCAGATTGTGAATAATAAAAGAATTGTCAAAGAAAAATTGTCATCATTTTCTTTTGGCTTATGTTACTCAAAAGTCAATTTCGTTGAAACATATCACTTAGTAGACCAAATGACTTCTAGCGAATTTAAAATTTGACACGATCCACTTGGGCATCCTGGCAATGTAATGTTGAGGCGAATTGTTGAAAATTCAAATGGCCACTCAATGAAAAAGAAATATATTTTGAGTCCGAATTAATTTGCTTGTGTTGCATGTTACCAAAGGAAGTTAATAATTAGGCCATTTCTAACAAAGGTTAGATTGAATCTTCAACTTTTTTTGAAAGAATTCAGGATGATATTTGTGGACCCATAGATCCACCGTGTGGACTCTTCAAGCAATTTATAGTACTAATTAACGCGTCAATGTGATGGTCACACGTATGTTTGTTATCTACTCGCAATCTAGCTTTTGCTAAACTATTTGCACAAATAATTAAATTGCGAGGAAAATTTCCTAATCACCCGATAAAGAAAATACGTTTAGATAATACTGGAGTGTATTCATCACATACATTTGATGATTACTGTATGTCAATTGGGATTACTATGGAACATCTTATACCCCGTGTACATACGCAAAATGGTCTGGCTGAGTCTTTTATCAAAAGATTGCAGTTAATTGCTAGACTGTTTTTAATGAGGTCTAAACTTCTCGTATCAACTTGGGGACATGCTATATTGCATGCAACAACCGTCGTGAAAAGAAGGCCAACAAGTTATCACTATTATTTCCCTAGTCAATTGTTATCTGAAAAGTACCAAATATATTTCATCTGCGAATTTTTTGGTGTGTTGTTTATATGCCAATTGCGCCACCCCAACGCACAAAAATGAGACCTCAAAGAAGGTTGGCTATATATTTTGTGGAAAAGACCACTTGAATTTGATCATTGTACGAAACATAGTGAACTTTAAGTTCAAAGAATTGTGTATTTGCAAAAAATTGCAAATCAATTGTCTGATGTTATTAATAATGTTGCCATTCACGAAATCATACATTGCAACAGCAAATACACCAGCTAAAATAAATATCCCAGAAGGAAAAGTTTCGAGTGCTAATGAGTATATTACCCGCGTAAAATGTGGCAGACCGTTGGGTTCTAAGGATAAGAATCCACGAAAGAAGAAAATTGTAAATACTGGTGAAGAAATCAACAATGATCAGATACCTGAAAAAGTCAGTACAACCCATGAAAAGGTTGATACTAAAAATTCTGATTGAAGTGAGGATGAAGTTATTGAAACTTTTATTAACTATACCACTAGTGGAAAATATTAGAACCGAAAGAAAACAAACATCGATAATGCTTTTGCATATTCTGTAGCACTCGATATAATGAAAAATGACGAGGATTGTGAACCAAAATCAGTTGATGAATGTCAGCAAAGAGATGATTGGGTATAATGGAAAGACGTAATTCAGTCTGAATTTGACTCATTGAAAAAATGGCAAGTTTTCGGCCCCATGGTCCAAACATCTGAAAATGTGAAACATATTGGCTACATATAAGTGTTTGTGAGAAAAAAAAAATGAAAATAATGATATCACAAGATATAAAGCAAGACTTGTAGCCCAGGGTCTTTACCAGAGACCAGACATTGATTTTGAAGAAACATATTCACTAGTCATGGATACAATAACATTCAAGTATTTGGTGAGCCTAGCAGTTTGCAAAAATCTTGATATGCGATTAATGGATGTAATTTCTGTCTATCTTTACGGCTCCTTAGACAATGATGTCTATATTAAAAATCCAGAAGGGTTTAACATACATGAATCATTCAAATCAAAGTCAAAAGACTCATATTCCATCAAATTGCAAATTTTTTTTTTATGGGCTCAAGCAATCGGGCCGAATGTGGTACAATTGTCTCAGCTTAAGTCTAACAAAAAAAGGTTACAGAAATGACCTGGTCCGTGTGTTTTCATAAAGAAAAATAGGTCAGAATTTATAATCATCGTTGTATATATCTATGATCCCAATTTAATTAGAACTCCTTATGAAATCCAAAAAGCTGTTGAATATCTGAAAAAAGGAGTTTGAGATCAAAGATTTTGAAAAACTAAATTTTGTCTTGGTTTGAAAATCAAGCATTTGGAAAGTGAAATCTTTATCTACCAATCAAATTATACCAAAAGGATACTGAAACAGTTTCTGATAGATAAATCACATCCGTTAAGAACCCAATGATTGTCAAAGCATTCGATCCAATAAAGGATCCACTTAGACCAAAAGAGAAAAATGAAGAAACACTTGGCTATGAAGTGTCATTTATGAGTGCTATAAGCGCATTGATGTACCTTTTCAATAACACCCGACCTAACATATCATTTGCTATAAATTTATTAGTAAGATTCAGTTCATCACCTACTTGACGATATTGAAATGAGATTAAGCACATTTTTCGCTATCTCCAAGGAACAATTGATCTCGGGTTATTTTACTCAAAAAATTCTCGACATGAATTGATTGGTTTTTCCGATGCAAGATATTTATCTGATCCTCATTAAGTCAAGTCACAAACTAGCTACATATTCACCTGTGGCGAAACAGTGATCTCTTGGAGATCAATGAAACAAACTTTAACTGTCACTTCTTCAAATCATGCTAAATATTGGCAATACATGAAGCTAGTTGAGAATGTGTTTGGTTGAGGTCAATGACTCAACATATTCTGAAAAATTTTGGGTTAATACTTGACGATAAAATTCCTCAAACTATAATGTATGAAGATAATACGGCTTGTATAGCCCAATTGAAATGAGTTACATTAAATGAGATAGAACAAAACACATTTCACCAAAATTATTTTTTCACTCATGATCCTCAACAGAATTTTAAAATTAATGTGCAAAAAATTCGATTAGATATTAATTTGGCGGATATATTAACCAAGGCATTACCGACTGCTAAATTTGAAAATTTGATAAAGAAAATTGGAATGCGTCGGTTAAGGAGTCTCAAATAATGTCCAGATCATGGGGAACAAATAAAAACAAAAGTGTTAGTACTCTTTTTCCTTCACTAAGATTTTTTTTTTCCACAAAATAGCATTTATGTGTTGAAATGATGTCATGATCACACAGATTGTATGACCTATATATATATATATATAGATATGTGTACCAATAAAATAAAATGCAATCACTTCACAGTTTTACTTTCTGTCTGTTGTGTATTGCTCCACTCATCTCTCTCCCTATTTATTACTCACATATCTAATCTCTATTAACATATATATATATATATTAACATTACATTCATACATCTATATTATACATACATATATTTATATATTATATTATTTACACACAGTCAATATAATATTAAATAATATAAAATAGTGATTAACTATAAAAATAATTAGTATTTATATTAATTAATCATATAATAATATTTTTTCTTTCTTATCGCGTTCCGGTAAAAAAAAAAAAAAAAAATCTTTTTTTAGGCTTTCTTAGATTCTGGTAATTTTTTTTTTTTTTTTTGCCTTATTATAATGTGTGTATATGCCATGTAAGGATTCTAGAATATTAGCTTGTGTTCTTTTTGTGAATTTTAACACAGATTTTTACTATTTATATATATATTTTTTAAAAAAGATATTATATCAAATAATTATTTTTTTTATATTATACTATAAATCTATTTTACATTCAAAATATCATATCAATTTATATTTATATCACATCAAACAACTATTTAAATTCAACTTTTTACTATTAAAAAAGTCAAACCCCAAAAACTAAAATCCACGGACAAACGCACCCTTAGTGTTTGTGTAAAGATTTTTTGAGATTTTATGTTGTTAATTAATTTTTGTTTGTGTTAAAATTATCAAATTAAATATTTGCTTTTTATTTTTTATATTATACTTTTTAAATTTGTTATATATATGCCATTCTTTTTCAGCCTGTTAAATTTATTCTATTCCTAAATTTGACAAAATAAAAAAGTCAATATTTGAATATTACTTCTCGATCAATTTTTATTTGCATCAGATATTACTATATTTATTATTTATATTTTTTCATTTATTTGAAATACTAACTAAATTTTTAAAAATATCTTCAACCAATTTTTAATTTTTGTAATAATTTGTTTTTTCTTTTAACTCTGTGTCGGACCAAATATTCTTAATTTTACCTGAACTAGAGATTTATTAAAAATTATCACAATGATAGAGAGTGAAAGGCAAGAAGTTGCAAGATGCCAACATAGGCGCTTAATTTGGGGAAAGTAGAGGAAGGGATAGGAATAGAAATGAGAAACAGTGAGAGGCACCGACCCCATACCTAATCTACTCACACTTAAAATTGGCGAGGTGTGCCTGGGCCAAGATGCAGCCCAATCGAACCTGCGCCTCCGTCGTCAGATGAAGATTATCCTCCTTCAGCTGCAATCCGTAGGCGTCCACAGTCACCACGTTCGGGATGTCGATTCCCTTCTGGATTTCCCTGATTTTGTCCAGGTACTTTATATCCCCGGATGCAATCGCCACCTGAATCAATATGAACATGGATGAGGGAGGGAGTGGGAGTTTGAGGACTCGCTTAATTTCAACCATCAATCATCGAATCTAACTAATTAGAAATTAGATTTAGAATGGAGTTCACAAACAGTTTAGTCTTAATAATATATACCTGAATCACCGGAAGAGAAGGCGAGTTCAGATCTGACCGTACATTCCGAATCAGGGTTTCCAAACTCTCCTTATAGGCCTCCACGTCACGTGCAGAGCTCGTGTCGCTCTCGCCTTGGTACCAGAGAAGCGCTTTTAGTTCGCCCCCCCCGCCGCGGGACGCCGCTTTGGCGCGTTCCACCATGTTGTTGTAAAGGTGGCCGCCACGCGCCCACTCCTTGATGGCGGTGCCGCCGACGGCGCAGGGCACGAGTCCGATGGCTCCCACGATATGCTCCTTGACGGCGTTGGCGAAGGGCATTCCAGGCCCCACGCCGCACGTTTTCTTGGTGTCTATGTCGTAGTGGAGAGGCACGCGCGCCGCTTCCCAGTCGAGGCGCGCGTTGAGGCGGAACACTCGCGACGGATCGGGGGAGCACTCCGGCGGGACTACGCCGTCCCAGTGCTTCTGCCTGTCCACCCCGCCGCGGCCGGCCATGTTGCTCTGCCCGGAGAGGATAAAGATCTGTTTTTGGGCGGAGGTGGAGGAGGAGGTATCCATGAATCCGATCCGATCATGTATTAATTTATTGCCATCGGCCAAACTAATTTATATCCCAATTGTACAGCTCGATCGGTACAATAGCCTGCAATTGAAAACACACTAGTTCACCAAGCACTTAATTATGGAACAGTAATATTCAATTTTTAATTATCGATAGTATTCCTAGAGGTCTTTTTATTCATTCATGTCATTTTAATAAAATGAGTATATGATTATTTAAGCCGTACCTACCAAAATTTATAGGTGGCACAAGCTACTCCAAAAAAATCAATTAATACCGTGTTGAATTAATCATGAAAATAAAAATAAAAATAAAAATAAAATGAAGTTGTCGGCCAGCAGAGCGTTCATGCTCCCACCTTTCATTACATCGTTAATTCATTCATTTCAATTTTTTCAATTGCTTCTGATCCCCATTTGGTCGGAAGTCATATATTGTTAGTACATGGGGCTCATAAAAGGGATGGATTGTTACAATGTCGGTTGGTTCTTGTTAGATAGATACATTTAAAAAAATTATTTAAAGGAGTTATGATTTTATTGATTATATATTGTACAAAAATAGGCACCTCTAAGGATGCAATTTTTGCCGAACTTCGTAAATTTCGTGTTTTTATTTTATTTTCTACATTTGGCTTTTATTTTTACAATAATTGATATTAAAGCGCCGGGAGAAAGCCATAACATCCTATGTGAAATTCAAACTTATCAAGTTTGATGAAATTGAGAATTTCACACTTGCAATAATAGGTGAAGGATCTATTGATTCAACATAGGATGCAAAAGGCGTTGGAAAAGAAGCCGGAAAAGACTGACCAATCAGAATGGGACGTTCTTCACAAAAGAATAGTAATCACCATTCGATTATGCCTGTCTGGTAAAATTATTTTTCATGCGATAGAAGTAGAACCAACTACAGAAGTGTAGGAGAAATTGAAAATTCGATATATGGCAAAATCGTTGACAAATAAGCTACATATGAAACAAAAGTTGTACGGCCTTCGAATGCAAAAAGGTGCTGACCTGACACTTTATCTTAATACATTTAATAAAATAATGGTGGATTTTGGAAAAATGGATATGAAATTTGAAGATAAAGACAAAACCATGATTTATATGTTAATTATCTTCATCCTATGAGCATCCGATGACAGCATTAACTTGCGGGAAAGATACAATCACACTTGAGGATACCATATCTACACTTGTATCTCATAACCACTGTCGGTTAAAAGATAGGGCAAATATGCAAGACGATGAATTATATGCTCAAAATGAAAAAATATATATATATTGAGAGAGAGCGTTAGCTAACTAGTAGTAATTCTATAAGAAGAGGAGGAAGGTTAAGGTAAAAAAAAAAAGTGCAACGTTAAGGGTCAACAATTTGGACACTTTAAACGAAATTGTCCAAACAAGAAAATAGGTGGAGGCACAAACGGAGGAAATGGAAATAAAAATGGTGAAAATGTCTTTGAAGGTTCCTCAAATAATGCCAATGTCGTGAATGATGATTCAGATAGTAGTGTTGATCTCCTTGTTGCATCTAACTCAAAGATGATTGATGCCAGGATTGTTGACAGTGGATGCTCATATCACTCATAAAGTATATATTGTTTTGTATTTTTGTAGAAAAATTAAAAATTATAATTAATATATTAGATAAGATTTCTACTAATTTTGGTATAATCGTGATTAGTGACATGATTGAGTGATTCCTGGAATGATGTGTGTCCTTGCCAAATTTTCGGATCAAAGATTGAGGTGGAGTTTGGGCATGAAGATGGAAAAGAGCAATCAAGTAGCTAATTGAAAGCTTGCGTGTCTATAAAAAATGGGGTTAAGGAATTGGAGGGAGACACATAACTTACATTCACATTTCATAGCCTAAGTTGGAGGATTGGGATGGACTATTCGAGAGGAAGCGCCACCGGATGATCATCACATTTATTACTTTTATTTATTTTTAAGCATGAGTAGCTAATTTTCTATTCTAGTCCAATATTGAATTTATATTTCGAATTTAGATTTGTGAGATTATGTTTTTATTTAAATTGAATCTTGTTTATTAAAATGATATTTGTGCAATTTTTGTAATTCATGCCTACAATTGTATTATTTAATTTTTTATTACGGCCGAATTTTAGATTGCTTTAGTAATTGTGTGCTAATCGAATATTTGTATCCGTAATTGTACACTTGTTTGATAAAACGGTAAATCGGTTAACAAGTTTAGCCTACGAATTGCATGATAAAATAATTTTTGTAATTTATTGAATATTTGAATTTGATTTTTCTCGTGCTATTTTCAAGTGAAGAAATTTATTTATGGTTGTACCTAGAGTGTCGGCATCGAGAGTGTTTATCTCACAAGCTACATGGAGAGAAAGTAGATCAAGTGAACTAGGGGCAGCGGAATCAATGATACCAAGATTAATAGCCAAACGAGTAATATGCGAGCCTAAAGGAAGATGCCTATTTTCGTACGCACAATAGTAGAGAACCGCGATGCCCCAATATGCGAAATTAACTTTCCCTTTCTTGGTCATGCACTAAAGAAAGAAAAGTTCAGCCTTATTGACCACGTTAGATGTGTCTTTCTGACCCAAAAAACTATATGCAATAAGACGGTGAATATATTGCAAAGTCGGACTCTTAAGATAAGACAACTTTGACATCTTCGGATTGTAAGGGGAAGTGTCAGAAGTTAAATCATGTCATACCTCATTCAAATTTGAAAGAAAATCAGGATAGAATGTGGTCGCACTCTCCGCAAAGCTCTTGTCGGCGACATCCTATTCAGAGTACATACCCAAAGCAACTCCAAATTTTGCAATAGACATTTTAAATTTGGCACCAAGTAAAAAAAAGCATACTACATTAGGATAACTCACAGTAAACTTTTTAGGGATCGTGAAAACAAAAGTTGAGTAGAATTCTAAAGTTAGCTCAGCCACAGCCGGTACATCAAGTCTTATAAATTCCAACCAACCAAGAAAAAGCAAAATAATCAATGACATTAACAATAAAGTTCAATTCTACTAACAAGGATATATCCAATTTCTTGCAAAGAATAATTTTCTTAAGGGGAGATTTAACAAATTCAAATCATTTTATATCCTCAGTATTTTCAAATGAAAAATTATCTCCAAAAAACTTGTCCACCACCATGTGAACTTTCTTACCTCGTGGAGAGCACAATGCGGGCTTCGAAATCTTTTGCTGAACTGGATAACGGCACTCAAATCGTCGGTCAGACATAAGTGATTTTCTTTCGTGGCACCATAGCCTGCAAAATAGAACAAAATAGCATAAAACTTACCGAAACATAGTGAACTCCAGTTGGCAGGCGGTGGACGGTCGCAGACAGCGGCGGACTGAAGCAGGGCAGCAGGCTGGAGAAGGAGAAGAAGAAATAATGAAGAAGAAAGGGAAAAAAAAAAAAGATGAATAAGAAGAAGAAGGGAAAATGATGAAGACCATGGTTGTCAACACAATCCAATTTCAACAAGATATGGGGGCGAGCATTCAAAACTTTGAATCTCACGTGGATCTTCGCCATGTCAAGGAAAGAGATACGGGAAAATGACTATCACAATCGGAAAGGAACCCAAAGAATGGTAGCGGCATAAATTTACAAACCGGAAAGACGGTAAGAGATCTGAAACCAATCACTCTGAAGGACAAAGACGAGAGCACCGTCAAGAAAGAAATTGAGAAGGAAGATGCAAGGAAAAATGAGATAATTGATGAAACTATCACTAAATTGATTACTAATCTTGCCTTTTATCCTTCAGGGTTGGCAGAGTAAAAAAAGGCAAAAAGGAATAATGAAATTCTGGAGATATTTCGAAAGGTCGAGCTCAATATACCTCTATTGGATACAATCCACTAAATTCTAAAGTACGCAAAGTTCTTAAAGGAGTTGTGCACCAACTAACGGAAGTTGAAGAGCGATGAATGCATCGTTGTAAGCAAGAATGTCTCGACACTACTACAAAGAAATATTCCACCAAAGTGCGGAGACCTAGGTATGTTCACAATTCCGTGTAAAATAGGGTAGTTAGAATTCAAGCGTGGTATGTAATAGTTAAGTGCAACAATTAATTTCATGCCAAAGTCGATTTATAATTGTTTGAATCTTACACCACTAAAGAAAGCTAGAATTATTATTTAACTTGCTAATAGGACGCATGCATATCCAGAAGGACTTATAGAGGATGTCCTTAGTTGATTTTGTTAATCTATCCCCCCAATACTTGAATGTGTGACAAAATAAAAATTAACCTTCACAGTCCCTATGGATCGACATTGGAACCACTTGCTTCATCAGAATTAACCTTTATTGAAAGCACCGAGGCTACCAATCACATGACTCCACATTGGGAATGGTTCGAAACCTACACTTTAGGAAATTATGGGATAGTTTTACTTGATGATGATAAGCCATGTGAAGTTGTCAGTATTGGGAAGGTGAGGATTCAGATATTTGATGGGGTCATAAGGATTTTAAATAAAGTTAGACATGTACAAACATTAAAGAAAAATTTGGTATCTTTAAGTTTAATGCAAAATAATGGATTTACTTTTAAGTGTCATGAAAAATGCTTAAAAGTGGCCTGTGGAGCACTAATCGTGATGAAATATAAGTTTGAAAGAAGGAAATATCTGCAAACTTGAGGGAACTATGATTGTACATGGAATTTATACTATTGAATCTAGTGTTAATAACACTACATTGTGGTATGCTCGGCTTGGTCATACGGGGCATAATGGGATGCAGAGCTCAGAGAAGAGGAATTTGTTACAGGAAATTCAGAATTACAATGTGAATATTTTTAAGTACTGTGCACTTAGAAAATAGTCGATGGTGCAATTTAAAACAGCCAAACACACTACATGTGGGACTTTGGACTATATCTACTTAGATATATGGCAAATACGCCTTTGATGGGTGAAGCTCTTTATTTTGTTACATTCATCGACGACTATTCACGAATAGTATGGATTTATTTTTTGAAAACTAAATCTGAAGTGTTTGCACAGATGATACCTTGAACAAATGCTTTCAATGCAAAAGAAAAAGAGAATTGAATAGTGAAATTACATATTTATGTGAAAATAGAACATTTGGTCACGTTAAGGTCCTATGAGTACTTGATTGAAATATATCATTTAGA